GATTCGCCAACGAAAGCTATACCGTTTCTCCCGTTTCCTTCGACAGCTCTTCGAGAATGCTACAGAATACAATATCCCGGCAGACGCTTCCTATGAATTCTTTGAGTCGCTTCTGATCTCGGACCACTTCCTGATCAAGTCAAATGCATCTACTGGGCAAAAAGGGGTGTATCTATTTGCGCATCATGCGTTGTGGAATCGCCCCGGCGATATTCGAGCTATCTTAGGAACATCTTTCCGTGAGGAGGATGTACCCAAAGACTCGCCTCACGTGCCATATATCCTCGTAATTCGTCCGGAGAAGCCTCTGAACTGGGCTGGCAAAGAAATGCAGGTTGGCCTGTTGGAGCAACCTACCGACCTACGGCTGGGCAAACTGCGTCTCGTCGTTGAGGGCACACAACAACGCCTGTCTAATGCAAGACAGGAACTGTCTCAGTTGACTGGAATGCAGCTTGACATGACCATCGAACAACGCGCAAATCTTGGACGAGTGAATGTGGAACTGAACAAGATCAAGAAGATCTCGTTCAAGCTGTCTATGACTATCATGGATAGTGTAGCGATTATCAGAAATCAACTGAAAGAAAGGGGTGTGGAAAACCACGATCTCATTCAGGCGTGCTACGCCTTTGCTACTGAATTCGGCAAGCGCTCGTCTAATGTTGATCCGAACAGGCGTGCAATGAATAGCGCCAGACTCGTAGAGTTGTCACTCGACTGGGTATCTTTCATTTGTGATGATTGTGACGCCGCTGATAGAAAAACTTTCAAGTGGGCTGTATCAGCGTTGGAGTTCGCAATGGCTATAACCTCCAGCAGGCATCTTCTGTCCATGGATGATATTCAATTTGCTCTCTTGAGGCAGAAGGTAGCCGGGTGCATGTCGCTTCTTATATCTCATTTCGATATCATGGGTGCTCGGTCTTCACGTGCAGCTCAGGCCGAAAAGCAGCGTATGGAGGAGCGTGCAGGCGGAAGGAAATTTGGCTCCGGTCGGATTCTGACAGATGCAGAAGCGACTAAGCTTGTTCGTGAGCAACGTCTAACCCACCTAGAAGATATTGAAGACCGAAGGGTGGAAGAAGATGCGAAACGTCAGGCCCTAGGAAGAGTGCTGGAAGGATCTAATGAAGCCGACAGATCTCTCGCCGTGTTGTCATCGTCTGCCACCAATGTCACTCTTCGATGGCAACAAGGCCAATTCATCGGCGGTGGAACATTCGGCTCGGTTTATGCCGCCATCAACCTCGATAGCAATTATCTCATGGCAGTCAAGGAAATTCGACTGCAAGATCCTCAGCTCATCCCCAAAATTGCCCAGCAGATCCGCGACGAGATGGGCGTTCTCGAGGTGTTGGACCACCCCAATATCGTTTCATACCACGGCATCGAAGTTCACCGCGACAAAGTCTATATTTTCATGGAGTATTGCTCGGGAGGGTCCCTTGCTAGCTTGCTTGAGCACGGCCGTGTTGAGGACGAAACTGTCATTATGGTTTATGCCCTCCAGCTCCTGGAAGGATTGGCATACTTGCACCAGGCTGGTATTGTCCATAGGGATATTAAGCCGGAGAATATCCTGCTAGACCATAACGGCATTATTAAATATGTTGACTTTGGTGCGGCCAAGATTATTGCTCGCCAAGGCAGGACTGTTGTTCCCATGGACGCGTTCGCCTCAGCGGGTCATAAGGAGGCAATAGTGCCGAAAGATGCCCAGATTGCGAACCAAAGGGGCAAGAACCAGAAAACAATGACTGGAACACCAATGTACATGTCACCCGAAGTGATTCGCGGCGACTCTAACAAGCTGATCCACCGCCAAGGGGCCGTTGATATTTGGTCCTTGGGATGTGTGATCTTAGAGATGGCGACTGGTCGTCGTCCCTGGTCCGCCTTGGACAACGAATGGGCCATCATGTACAACATTGCCCAAGGAAATCAGCCCCAGTTACCGACCCATGACCAACTCAGTGACATGGGCATCGATTTTGTCCGCCGGTGCTTCGAATGCGATCCTTTGAAGAGACCTACTGCAGCAGAATTACTCCAGCACGAATGGATAGTCTCCATCAGACAGCAGGTCGTACTTGAACCACCAACCCCTAACAGTGACCACAGTGGCAGCATAAGCAGTTCCGCCTCGGGCAGCCGTCAGAATTCCAGCTATATGTGATCTTCTTTCATCCCCCGTTACTTTCAATTAGATGTACATTTTAAACCCATTCTTTGTTCCTAAAGAACTTTTCGTCTCACTCTCTTTCCTTACCCTTTTCTATCTTCGCCCGAAAAGTTTCGCACATGATCACAAAACTGTCCTCTCATCACATCAACAAATTGCGCTTGATACCCCTTATACAATGACTAAAGCATGTTCTTCCCGCCAATCCTTAACGTGTGATGTGTTCCTTGTTTTTTTTTTTAGCGCCGGTTTCTTCTACTTGGTTCTAGGCATGGTGTTACGGGTCTGCCATACACAAAGCTCAATTTGATCTTAGTCTGCATCTCCATGTTTCGCATATCCCATAAATGAACCCCCAGTCTACTACGTTAGCAACATATTCTCAACCTCTAGTCTCAGCGCGCTTTTTAAAAAAAAGAAAAGAGGGCATGAAACTGAAATAAACTTCAAAGGTAAATCTAGATACCTCCCTCTCACACCATGCTGAGTCAACGAAGGTCAACATGATGGCGGGATATCTGTTTCGGTGTATACACTCGTATATGCATATATGATCAGCAAAGGATAGAATATGACTACTATTCAGGTCCGAGGAAAATGAATGAAATGTGAAAAATAGCCCAAACGTGTTGAACCGAGATCCTTCAGATAACGCTACCTATTCGCACACAATGGCCCCAGTGTGAATCGAGAAAAAAACAAAGATCAAGAATATGGAAGGAAGAAACACAAGATGGGGTGATAGTTAGAACCCTAGAACCAACGCGGACGCCAATTTAAGAAAACAGCCATCGTAAAACCATGAACCAAGTGTCTGATGTAGGGAGCGGGAGGGTAGAAAACAAGCATTCCTGTGCTTTGGGAGCACCACACCGTGGATTTTATCACAGGGAGGAACTAGTGGAGAGAATTAGAAGGAGGCAATAGAGGCAATTAAAAACGTAGAAGGTAAAGGCCGAGGGACTTGATGACCAGAACGTTGTCCCGCGCCATAGAAGTTGGTATCAACGAAATTCAATAGCAGGGGTGCAACCGTGATCCGGAACGTGTTTGAGCTCCAGCTGCTGGTACCTATTGAAACTAATTTATCAGTATCGGAAAATTAACGGGAAGTTTTACTAGTAATTGGGACACATACTTCTCGCTCTTTGCATGGAAGTATATACCAGTCACGGTCCCTTCCACCTGGTTGAAACAGATGTAGTAGAAGCCTTCGAAGCTTGCGCCTGAAATTGTCCTTACACGATGGTCGGGTACAAGGAAGTACTCCTTCCATCGCATGAAGATATGTTCGCGTTGGGCGAAGTTGCGGTACGTGAAATCCGGTCTTTTTGCCTGCTTAGCTAACGGCCTCCAAGCTGGAAATCTCGCCCAGTGATGCATATCGGTCTTCTCCGTAGCGCCCCATGCTTCATTTCTAGTCTTGAATGTGTGTTTCGTTCCGATAATCTCTCCCTCGAAAAACGTAGTAAGGGTGGGATGATCCTCCGTGAGACCTGCATATAAAGCGCAATTGGTCAGGCTCGACCATCTAGGGTAGTCGTAATCCTGTGGGGATACGGTACTGACCTTGGATTCTAAGATAACCACAAAGATACGATTCAACCATATCAACATGCTTTATCTCTACATCAACATTGTATATCTGACGGTCTGACTGCTGCGTGCCAGTGAATTTACTACCGGGTCGCAGAAAGGACGATGTGTAATTAGGCAAAAGCTTCGATTGTCAGTACAAGAACCAGACCAAGACATAATTCCGATTGTCGCATACCCGTATATTTGAGAATTCATAACTCAAAAGCGCACTAGTGGAAGGTGTAGTAAGAGAAGACGGCTGGTTGGAGGAGCGTGGCGGTTCCCCAGCAGGACTCAATCTTCCCGCAGCAGCATCTTCGTCGGATTTTTCCATGCTCTTGGCAGAGGTTCCAGGCACAGCACTGGCCTTTAATGCATCCGGATTTGAACGAGTTATAGCAACATCATCCGACCGAGTCAGCACGGACTGCGCCGAGGCAATGGTGGGGGAGAGGGCATTATCGGGAGCATCGCCCTCCGCCACGGTAGATTCAGGTGAGTCTCGCCAGGACGACAGCCTCTCTATTTCAGGCGGACATGTTGTCCGAGTGGAGATTTCTTCAGAGATCGATGTGGCATTCAGGCTTGGTGTGTTGTCACTCGGGGTCGGCATTGAGGCGAATCAGAAAAGGAATGACATCGGATCCGGCTGGTAGAAGGGTCTCACACGACAGGACAAGAAAAACAGGCCAGCTATGTGTAAGTACAATGCGAGAGAAATACTAAGAAGAGATGAAAGAAGGTTTGATGTGAAAGGGGTTGTGAATGGAAGTCCATTCGACTCATGAAGTCTGGGGCGGAAGACGCACTTCCCAAAAGGGATAAGCCCGCTGATCATGCGAGCGCGGGGGAGGCAAACCAAGCGCTTGGGGCGGATAATTCCTGGCGGGCCTTGGCCTTCAGGTCACCGCCAGGCATTCATTCCTATTTCCATTATTGGCTTACGGTCTACAATTCCATTCCACCCCTTTGATTGAAATTCTTTGTTTTTCTCTCTTATTTTTTATTTTTTATTTTTTTCATTCTTTCTTTATACAAAACTATACAATTACTCAACGATCACAATTACACATAGTTCATCAGGTCATCAGATGGGTATTTATTTCTCTGCTACACACTTGGTAGAAATCTGTGGCCAGCTATAACATTGCGTCATCACTGCCCGTTGTATATGTATTGCGAAATTGACTCTCGAGCTTTAATTTGCCTCATCATCCAAAACGCCCTATTTTGACCCTTAATTGAACAGCCCCATGTCATTTGTGAAGTACCGGTTTAGATAGGCTTGATCTGCGAGGCGGAAAATCACGGTCAGAGCGGTGTCCTCGAACTTCAGAGAATCTGGTATTACCTTGAAATGAAGAGAAATAAGAGAGAAAATGAAAGCTTTAAGATCCTGGACAAGGTAGTAAAAAACCCGAAGACCTTCTGGGTCTGCGGACTCGGTCACATCCACCAGCGAACCGATTTTCGCGGTCTGCGCAAGGCCGTGTATGTTAACAAATTGTGCCTTTGCTGCCAAACACTCCGGGGCTAGAAACGTACTTCAAAGGAGATATGTTCATTTCCAAGTCTGATTTCGAGTTCCTGTCGTCCGTCCTTGTTCTTCTGGGGCCACTTGGAATCGTCCTCCCTGTTTCGCATTAACATCCCATTTCAGGTTTAAACATAGTAACCTATCACATACTTGATGATCTCGCTCTCCCTAATAATCCGCTTGATCTCCTGAATCATCGACGAGCTCACACACACTATAGCATTCCCATTAGCGACAATGTAGTTTCTCACGGCGAGTTCTTTCCCTGGCGCTCACTTTCTTTGCGGATAAGCGAGTCATTGCGATAGTTGGAGTTGTTTGCGTACCGCACGGCGGCACTGCGACCATCACCAAGGGTACGGAAATCAAATTCTAGTAATAATTAGTACCTGAATAGCGAGCCAGTATGTCATAGCAAACCAACCTAAGAATTCATGTCCGAACCGCCCAGAGTGACCTGAGCTGCGGGACTGTCAGCAGCTGAGGAAACCTGGGCTAACGAGAATCCAGTTCTTACTAGTAGCGAAGATAGAAGGGTTCGTTCTGATTTTGTGTCGACATCTTCTCCAGGCTCTCTCCACCAGGAACAGCTGCGGCAGACAATACAAGTCGTTGGCTGTAAATTAGGTGCGGCCGGTGCCTGGGTCGAGTTGGGCCTTTGCACGGGATGGGGGATTAGTCATCCACACACTCCGGACAGCTTGCGCTCTCCGCCGCGCAAATGGACAACGTTGATTCTCAGATCAACATTACATACTGGTGAATGCAAGGCTGGTGAGGGGAGTCGAATTGCTTTTTTAATTTCCTTCCTTCCGCTTGCTTCATACATTTGAGGAGAGTAGTTCCGGTACTTCTCCCTGCCCGCCTCCCCTGAAGGATCCAATCAATAACAATAGTCTGTTGTACTGACCACATTTAGCTCTCCTCCCTCCTTATCCCATTCCTGCCACGGCCGCTCAATTTTACAAACCCTCGTCACCATGGCGTCGTTTTTAGAAAATGCATACAGTCTTGTCCATCTGGACAACACGGCTGATCAGCCTTCCATACAGGACCTGAAATTGCAGTTGGAGAAGGGCAATGATGAAACTAAGCAGGAGACGATGAGGACGATCATCACGATCATGCTCAATGGAGATCCAATGGCCCAGCTGTTGATGCACATTATTCGATTTGTGATGCCTTCGAAGAGCAAACCTCTCAAGAAACTGCTGTACTTCTACTACGAAATCTGCCCGAAGCTCGATGCGAATGGCAAGTTGAAGCAGGAGATGATCCTGGTTTGGTAAGGCATTCCATTCGGCCGTTAGTGGGTGGCTGCTCTAATATACATTCATCTACGCAGCAACGGTATTCGCAATGACCTTCAGCACCCCAACGAATATATTCGAGGCAACACCCTTCGTTTTCTGTGCAAGCTCCGAGAACCGGAACTCATTGAACCCCTCCTTTCGTCAGCCCGCTCATGCTTGGAACACCGTCATGCCTATGTGAGAAAGAACGCCGTGTGGGCTGTTGCTTCTATTTTCCAACATTCGGAAGCTCTTATTCCCGATGCGCCTGAACTCATCCAGACGTTCCTCGACACCGAGACTGACGGCACGTGCAAGCGCAATGCTTTCGCGGCTCTCCTGTCCATCAGTCATCAGAAAGCCCTAGAGTACTTGGCCTCTACATTCGATAGTATTCCCAATACGGATGAACTACTTCAGCTGGCGGAGCTCGAATTTATCAGGAAAGATGCGGTGCAGAACGCTCAGAACAAGGTGGGTCGTCGAAGAGCAGAAGGATGCTACAGGCTGCTAACTACCGGCAGGCGAGGTACCTGAAATTGATCTTCGATCTCCTAGACGCTTCAACCAGTACCGTGATTTACGAAGCTGCAACATCCCTTACTGCTCTTACCAGCAACCCAGTGGCCGTTAAGGCAGCTGCCCAAAAGTTGATCGAGTTATGCATCAGAGAGGCCGACAACAATGTGAAGCTCATTGTTCTTGATCGGGTTGACCAGCTGAGGATCCGCAACGAAGGTGTCTTGGAGGATCTCACAATGGAAATTCTACGCGTCCTTTCCAGCCCGGATATCGACGTTCGACGGAAGGCCCTCGGCATCGCATTGGAGATGGTCTCCAGCAAGAATGTCGAAGAGATTGTCATGCTGCTGAAGAAGGAGCTTGCCAAGACTGTAGATGAGCAATACGAGAAGGTATGTTTCCGACTCCTTTGTAACAAGAGCATCCAACTGACAATCTATGTAGAATAGCGAGTATCGTCAACTTCTTATCCAATCGATACACAATTGTGCCATTAAATTCTCGGAGATCGCTGCTAGCGTCGTTGATCTTCTAATGGACTTCATTGCAGACTTTAACAACAACTCTGCCGTAGATGTGATCTCATTCGTCAAGGAGGTCGTGGAGAAGTTCCCTAACCTGCGCGCTTCCATCGTCGATCGCCTGGTGTCGACTTTGAGTGAGGTACGTGCCGGAAAGGTTTACCGCGGTGTCTTGTGGGTTGTAGGTGAATACTCTTTGGAGGAGAAAGACATCCGTGAAGCCTGGAAGAAGATCAGAGCTAGCTTGGGTGAAATCCCTATCTTGGCCTCGGAGCAGCGGCTGCTTGACGAAACCCCAGAAGACAGTGCACTCAAGGAACAGGTCAACGGCCATGCTAAACCTTCGGCGCCAACAGGATCTAGGAAGGTGTTGGCAGATGGCACGTATGCTACTGAGAATGCTCTGACTAGCCAGTCCGCGGCTGCAGCCAGGCTTGAAGCCGTCAAAGCTGCTCAGAAGCCCCCTCTCCGTCAATTGATCCTGGACGGTGATTACTACCTAGCAACCGTTCTTTCTTCCACCTTGACGAAATTGGTGATGCGCCATTCTGAAGTTTCCGAGGATGCTGCTCGGACAAACGCACTGCGTGCGGAGGCAATGCTGATCATGATCTCGATCATTCGTGTCGGCCAATCCCATTTCGTCAAAGCCCCTATCGATGAGGACTCAGTGGACCGTATCATGTGCTGTGTACGCTCGCTTGCTGAATTCTCCGAGAGAAAGGAACTAGAAACCACCTTTCTGGAGGACACCCGGAAGGCATTCCGGGCCATGGTCCAGGTGGAGGACAAGAAGAGAGCGGCTAAGGAGGCGGTCGAGAAGGCCAAGAGTGCTGTGCAGATTGATGATGCTATCCCCATCCGACAATTCTCCAAGAAGAACGCTCTTGAGGGCGCGGAGGAAATTGAGCTTGATTTGGCCAAGGCCACCGGCGGGGACTCCACGGTGGAAACTGTCTCTTCGAAGCTCAGCCGTGTGGTGCAACTCACTGGTTTCTCAGATCCCGTCTATGCCGAGGCCTACGTCACCGTTCACCAGTTTGATATTGTTCTGGACGTTCTTCTGGTCAACCAAACTCTGGAAACCCTGCAAAACCTGTCCGTCGAGTTTGCGACACTTGGAGACCTGAAGGTTGTCGAACGACCAGCGACCCACAACCTCGGACCCCGCGATTTCTTGAATGTGCAGGCTACAGTCAAGGTATCGTCCACGGACACGGGTGTCATCTTTGGTAACATCGTGTATGATGGCGCCAGCTCAACTGAGTCGCACGTTGTCATTCTCAACGACATTCATGCCGACATTATGGATTACATCCAGCCGGCTCACTGCACCGAGACTCAGTTCCGGACCATGTGGACCGAATTCGAGTGGGAGAACAAGGTCAACATCAACTCCAAGGCGAAGAGCCTCCGCGAATTCCTCAAGCAACTCATGGACAGCACCAATATGTCATGCCTGACGCCAGAAGCATCGCTGAAGGGAGACTGTCGATTCTTGAGTGCTAATCTATATGCCCGGAGCGTATTTGGTATGTATACTTCACCCGCGTGATGGTAGTATTTTGTCGGACGAGGGCTAACGGTGTCACAGGCGAGGACGCACTTGCAAACTTGAGCATCGAGAAGGAAGGAGACGACGGACCGATCACTGGATTTGTGCGGATAAGAAGCCGTTCACAGGGACTGGCATTGAGTTTGGGATCCCTGAAAGGCCTCAAGGCCTCGGCTGCCTAATTGATGTTGACCAGCGCTTGAATAGTTGATTACCCTTTTACATTCTATCTTATTATCATAGTATCTATTGTATTTGATCTGCGTTGTTGTTCTCTCTCCAGTGTGACTCTGATGGACGAATCTCTTGACTATACGTGTTTCCTTTTTCTACCGTGTTGTACTGCATGAGAAAAGACTTTTTCCTCTTTGAAATGAAAGAATTTTACAAATAGATCTTCAATGGGTTTCCTGGGTTGTTTCGGCTTGTTAACATATCAATTGACCATCAGTGGATCGTACAATAATAATGTATTATGCACAATCACTAATGTTACGTTCAAGTGTTAAGTGTCTCCACACCCCGCAGATCGCTGATGCCTCGGCTGTGGAAACGGCCTAAACCCTGGGTGAGGATGCAACGGAAGGGCCACTTGGTTTCAGGAAAGGTTCATTACGCATGGAGAGGAAGAATGACCCAATAATTGGGCTCGGTATTCAAAAAGAGACATGGGTGGGAATCGGCAATGGCTGTGGTTCTGCAGCGCATGTCAAACGTGGAGTAATTTATATGCGCGGAAGTGCCCGGAAGTTGATAGAGAGGAGTCGAGTAGACGGACTATATTGAAGGGATGTGGAAAGGGACAATACTACAAGTAAGAATAAAAAACGAATCGCAAGGGGAGATCCGCCGTGTCAGGTTCAGAACGGCGCAAGAAATACTCGAAATAGAAAAAGGCCAGTTCTGTACGAAGGAAACCGGTGGGCCATTGCAACATTTAAATGAAACCAAGTCAGTCCATTGGGATTTTAATTTTCTTGACATTTACAAAAAATCAATTATTTAGTTAGCCTTTTCCTGAACTCCGCCCGGCTCGTCCATACTCCGTCGTTACTTCCAGTAACTTATTATTATTCTTGACTTACTGAACCTCCTCTCTCCTTCTCTGCCCTGCTGATCACTCCCTGCCAGAGTCGTTCCTTTATTTTTTCTTTTCCCTTTACCCACCCCTCGGTAGGATGCGATTTCCGCTTCCTAACCTAACATTATGACTTCTCCCTCCAACAATCATGCGGATCGGCCGGATTCTCAACAATTGCTACAGCACGATTCAACTCTGACAGTTGCACAATCGGTTTCCCTTACTATCGGGGGCGACTCCCTTATCGTTGTCGGTACGTGGTTAGGAATCAATGGCTCGTAGAGTTCCTTGTTGATTAACTCTGGTGCTACAGACGAGCGCCCAAAGTCAAAAGATCAGCGCGCATGCTGTGGCTTGTTGGCCAAGTCATGTATGTCGCACCGAATACCTTCCTTTTTTTCTTTTCTTGATTTTCTTGATTTTCTTTCTCGTCGCGTTTTACTTGACTCCAATTCGGAGGGGAACTTATCTCGCGTCGACTCAAAAGAATAAGGTTCAATCTGACTGACTGTATCTATAACAGCGAAAACTACCCATTCCATTGGGCTGTATAATATTCTTGATGCCGATCTTTCCCCTGCGGGCCTAACCATCACTTATGCCCAAGCTGCTACCAAAGACAGCATTTCCGTGACGGCCCTCGAGTACCCGATCACCGAGAAAGAAAAGGCAAGTGCGCAGGCATGGGTTTCGCAATTATTAGACCTTGCATATGGCGAAGCACAACGGTACAAAAGACTTAAGGTTCTGATCAACCCATTTGGCGGTAAAGGTGCAGCTTCTAAGAGCTATCACAAACATGCAGCGCCGGTCTTCGCCGCTGCGCGCTGTGTAGTGGATGTGCAGGAAACAACCCATCGAGGCCACGCCACCGAGATCGTGGAGCGAATCGACATTGACGCCTACGATGCTATCGTTTGCTGCTCCGGTGATGGTTTACCGTACGAGGTCTTCAACGGTCTAGGGAAGAAACCGAATGCTGGAGAAGCACTGGCAAAAGTAGCCGTCGCCATGGTCCCCTGCGGCTCTGGTAATGCCATGGCATGGAACCTTTGTGGCACGGGCAATGTTTCAGTGGCAGCGCTTGCGATTGTCAAAGGCCTGAGAACGCCGATGGATCTGGTCTCGCTTACGCAAGGGAATTCTCGCACACTGTCATTCCTGTCTCAATCCTTCGGTGTCATCGCGGAATCGGACCTAGGAACCGACAACATCCGATGGATGGGAGCTCACCGTTTCACATACGGTTTCCTTGTACGCATCATGCAACGGACGGTGTACCCATGCGACCTCGCCATCAAGGTGGAGACTGATGACAAAAAGGCGATCAAAGACCATTATAATACATACGCACACAATCCAGCTCCGCTTCGTTCCCCCGAAGAGACTGCAGGACAGTCCAAGGGTCTTCCCGAGCTTAAGTACGGCACGGTCCAGGATGATCTTCCCAAAGATTGGGAAGTCATTCCAGGCGAAGAAATGGGTAACTTTTACGCGGGCAAAATGGCTATTGTGTCCAAGGACACAAATTTCTTCCCCGCCTCCGTGCCCAACGATGGGCTGATGGACATTGTCACCATTAACGGAACAATCCCTCGTACTACGACCCTCAAGATGATGACCGCCATACCCGAGAATGAGTTCTTTGATATGCCCGAGGTCAAGATCCGCAAAGCTTTTGCCTACCGCCTGGTCCCTCGTCAGAAGGAAGGCTATATCAGCGTTGACGGTGAAAGCATCCCATTCGAAGCCTTCCAGGCTGAAGTCCATAGAGGTCTCGGTACGGTACTCTCTAAATCGGGACATCTCTATGAGGCAGAGGGTCCGAGACCGTGATGTCCTTGACACAGTCCCTTCCTTCAAGTAACAAAGGACACAATGGAGAAACAGGTCGCCAGTGATGTCTTTTGGTTGTATACATATATTTATTTTTACTGGTCTTGTCATTCTATGATACCCGCGCGCAAGACTTTCGAGGAAGCACAGGCATGCTTTTAATGCAGTTAGTTTAGGGCTCTGCTAGCTGGATACCGTTAGCCAGAACTGACTAACAACTACAGCTCGTGATGTATACACTTTACTATAGAGTTCATGGAAAGACAATTGTTGTTGTATCTGCATCTCCGAACCAGCAATAAGAGCCTTTAATTTCAGAAGAGAAAGAAAAAATGGTGACCGCTATAATTGTATATAAAAAAATTAACACCATGGAATCCCACAATAGACATCAAATTTTCTAGTAATACATGGAAATCAATCAAATCCACCCCATTCCTCGTCACTATCCTCTTCATCCGAATCAACCTTCCGGGTCCGGAATCCCCACTCAATCAATCGCTCATCCTCCAAAGTCTCCTTCGCCCGAGTTCTTACAGGCTTATACGGGCTGTCGGCCCGCAGCTTCTCAATGGGTCTCAAAAGCAGCTCAACTGGAACATCACCCTTCGGTTTCCGCACCCCATCAGACCCCTCCTCGAACTCAAGCACCTTCTCCACCTCATCAATCCAGATATCCATAATATGATACCTCAACCCATCGGGGCCATGGGGCATGGCGACATAATCCTTCTTCTCATCAGTAGGGGGCTGGTCGGGGTCAAAGTTAAGCGGACAGAGCGGGCCCTCTTCCAAGATTGAGATGTACGACTCCAGTTCCGCCCACTTAGTCTCATCATTCTGCTCCTCTTCCTTTTCTTCGAGAACCTCGCTCTGCTTCTTTCCTTTCGACCGCTTCTTCGATTTTCCGTTCTGTTCGGCTTCCCTCTTCCGCTTCTTGTTGCTGTCGTTGTCCTGCGCGACCTTTTGCTGCGCGCCCTTCAAGAAGATCTCAAATGCAACCCCGACATAGAAACGGATCAGCATCAGGTACTTGTCCAGTCGCAACCGATCCAGCGAATGGAAATCTCGGCCAATGGTGATCCAAAATGCGCGCAGGAAGCGATGGACGGCGGAGCGGGGGATAGTCGGGACAAGCGAGTAGGAGAGGTTCCGCGCGAGGGCTTGTTGTGTGAGTGGGCGGTCGGAGTGGTAGAAGCCTGGTTGAGTCGTTTGTTAGTTTTCTCGATATACAATTGGATTTCAACTTCGGGTGTATGTAGGCATAGGAGCAGCGCGGGACGTACAGAAGAACAGGCCCTTCCAGAGTTTGAGAAGCTCGATGAGAGAGAGGTCGGCTCTGGAGCGGAGGAAGAGAGTTAGGGAGTCGGTTGCTTTGTCCCGGATTTTCTTGTCTGCGATAACTGGTTAGCTTTGGGTTGGAGTGCGCGAAGTGGACAGCTGCGATTGAGGTGGGGTTGGACTGATTTTGGGACATACCGCTGGATGCGAGCTCCCTGACGAAGGGAGTCTTTTGTAGATCTGTCATGGTTGTAGCTGTGTTGTTTGCTTTTATGTCTAACCTGATATGCCGCAAACCATCATACAGACATAATCGTTTTTTTTTTTTTTTTTTTCTTTAGTGTTTGCTCTGTTTGTTCTAGTGATATTTGGGCGGGGTGAGTCTAGAGTTGTGATTGGGTGAATATGCAAGTGCACCACTAATGGTCGAGACCCAACTGGGTGGGGAACTTTAATCGACTTAGTCGACTTTTATGATTTACGGTCTACTCAGCATCCATTCGTACTATTACAATTCACGATATTCCGCGAGATCGATGACGCTGGACCCACAAACAGGCTGAGACTTTTGAGACTGAGAGTAGGGAAAGTTGATTAACAGAAGGATAGATGGAGGGTAAAAATATACTCAGAAAAACTAGATTCCCAAAGTGGAAAGTCGCTGCTTAATTTGTGATCGGATCACGGGTATCTTACACAGTACAATCAGCCATTGATATCCAAACCTCCAACTCACCCTGTTGTATACTATTCTACGAAGCTGCTGTTGCGAGACACCAGATCCTAAGTTGGAAATTTAACCGCTTTAATCAATTATCCCCCTAAAATATGATGTACTCGTCTTCAGCTCTTGACGCCGATAAACTCTCTTCTCTGCCGTATCCAGCGCACATTACAACATTACCTTCTGTACGACCCCTGGTGGCTCCATATGTATAGACACAACGACCACTCAGGTTGAGAAGATGCAGTTTGATAGTGCGGGAATCTTGGAATTGCTCCAACGAGGGGTCTCTCAGGCATTTGAGTCTTGCTATCAATGACATCACCACTTCCCGCGGGACGAATTGAACACCAGCCCGAGAGTCAATTAGCAAACCGTAATGCCATCATAACAGGTCAATCGGTACCTAGGTTGCAGCTCGCTTGGAGACGAATGGGGTTACACGCGAAATGTGTGGGCTTCCTTATATAGAATCGTTACGCCCAAATATTGCTGTTCGTTTACTCGATTTCTTTACCTGGTTTCAATTGCATTCTACATACATCCTTATTGTGCATCGTTGGTCATCTTCAAAGTGAACAAACTTCACACCCTCATTGCCTTAATACTTGACATCTTATCTAGTCTGTTCACACAAGTCTGATTGTATGATTAGATATGACAGAGGAGAAACGCACCGGCAGCAGCCGGTCAAGCTCAATCCAGGAAGATGCGGCAAACGTGAGACAGCAGTACAAGCGAAGGGGGTCAAAGTTCGATGATGCCTCAGTCTTCGAGAGTATTAATCCCGAAGGCAGAGCGGAGTTGACGCGTATTGCGTCAAACTTCCCCTTGCAACGTCGTGCGACTAGCTCTCAAGAGAGCGAAGCTCGTCTCCAACGCAAAGATACGCTTGAGGATATTGGCCTCGATCACCCTTCTCTGGACCCTACCAGTGGTCAATTCGACCAGTACAAATGGACTCGGATGAGACTGAAGCTGATGGATAAGGAAGGCATTGCTCGTCCCCCTTCGACTGGAGTTGTTTTCCAGAATCTCAATGTGTCCGGATCAGGCTCGGCGCTGCAATATCAAAGCACTGTGGGGTCGATTTTGTGGGAACCTTTCCGCCCACAAGGATTGCTGAGCTTTGTGAAAAAGTCCCCAGAGAAGCAGATTTTGCGCAATTTTGATGGTCTCCTAAAGAGCGGCGAGATGCTCATTGTTCTGGGGAGGCCTGGGAGCGGATGTTCGACCTTTCTTAAAACATTGTGTGGCCAGCTGCATGGTTTAAAGCTTCGTGAAAGCTCAGAGATACAGTATAATGGTGTTTCCATGGAAAAGATGCATAAAGAGTTCAAGGGTGAGGTTTTGTACAATCAAGAAGTGGATAAGCATTTCCCTCATTTAACCGTCGGACAAACGTTGGAATTTGCTGCTGCAGCGAGAACCCCTGAGAATAGGTTACATGGGCTGAAGCGACAAGAGTTTGCTAAGCACATCACCAAGGTTGCGATGGCTGTATTTGGCCTACTTCATACGTTTAACACAAAGGGTATGTCGTGCAAGCTAGAAACCTCCGGAAGTCGAAGTAGCTGACACCGGTGCACAGTGGGTGATGACTATATTCGAGGTGTTTCAGGGGGTGAACGAAAACGAGTTAGGTCAGTATGCTCTACATATCATGATTGTTGGTACTTCTCTGACTCGCATACAGTATAGCTGAGATGGCACGTAAGTATTTAAGTCGCCCTTACTTTGGTAACTTTTGCAATTGACATTATACCAGTTTCTGGTGCACCTATGGGAGCATGGGACAACAGTACCAGAGGTCTGGATTCTGCAAGCGCATTGGAGTTTGTCAAAGCACTGCGGCTTTCCTCCAATTTAGTTGGCACTAGTCATGCGGTTGCCATCTATCAAGCCTCGCAGGCAATCTACGATGTCTTTGACAAGGCTATCGTTCTATACGAAGGGCGAGAAATCTATTTTGGTCCATGTGATGAGGCAAGAGACTACTTCACCGGTATGGGCTGGCATTGTCCACCACGCCAAACTACTGGGGATTTCTTGACAGCTGTTACCAACCCGCAGGAGCGTCAAGCACGGGATGGAATGGAGAACAAGGTCCCTCGCACGCCTGATGAATTTGAGAAGTATTGGAAAACGAGCCCTCAATATGCCGCGCTCCAAAGTGAAATCGATGAGTATCATATGGAGTTCCCAGTGGGAGGAGAAGCGGAGCAAAGCTTTGGAGAAATGAAGAGAGTTAAACAGGCAAAGCATGTTCGACCGGAGAGCCCTTATATCATATCAATTCCGATGCAAATCAAACTCTGCACAATCAGAGCTTATCAGCGGTACATATCGATTCCTTGATCCTTGCACTACACTTTTGCCATCATTTCTATACTAACTAACCACCTCAGACTCTGGAACGACAAGCCCGCCACATTGACAACGGTCCTCGGAAGAATCTTCATGGCGCTTATAGTTGGTTCCATGTATTTTGGGTGAGTAGTTCGATATCACCCTTATGTCTAGTACAGTTTTAACCTTCATAGGACACCGAATGCTACAGCCGGATTCTATAGTAAAGGAGCTGCTCTTTTCTTTGCTGTTCTGTGAGTATGCCCTTGGATGTCATGTATCAATCCTGGTGACCCGGATGATCTTAAAAACGCAAATCCCGGGCTAACCCCTGTGTCTAGAATGAATGCCCTTATCAGTATCACCGAGATCAACTCCCTCTATGACCAGCGACCTATAGTTGAGAAGCAAGCGTCCTATGCTTTTGTCCACCCCTTCACTGAGGCATTCGGGGGCATTGTAAGCGACATACCAGTGAAGTTCATCTCAGCCGTGATTTTCAATATCATTTTTTACTTCCTGGCTGGATTGGTAGGTAGTGACTAGTCATCCCATATGTAAAAGCTGCTAACACAAGCATATAGCGATATGAGGCGTCCCAGTTTTTCATTTTCTTCTTATTTACATTCCTTAGTACACTTGCAAT